GTCTGTTATGAGCTGCCTGACATTGGGTGCTTCCATCTGAACTCCAGTTCTCCTCAAAAGAGGTATGTGTTCTTAACCACTAAGCTATCTCTCTAGCTCCTGGAGTAAAAAACAAAAAATTCGTCTTCATTGGTCTAACTAACACCATTGATCCAACTGGGAGTCGCCAAGATCCAACTTGCAGTTATACAAGCAACCACATGATGTCACCAGGAGCTCAAAGTATTTCAGACTAACAGCCAGTAATCTGGATTGAAAAGGAAAAAATAAATTTGACAAACATGGGAAATAATAATCAGACTTGAAAGAACTCACTCAACTAACTGCGTCCAAGTTGGACAGTTTATTCTGGAAATCCTGGTGAGTCCCTTATGGATGGGTCCAGAAACCAGAAATCCGAACAGACTACCCACTAATTTCTCACTGTGACAGCCTCAATCTGACTGCTTTTCTAGAGGACATGATCTCATTTCCCAGCACCCACAAGGCAGTCCAAACATCTACAATTCCAGTTCTAGGGGATCTGATGCCTTCAACTGGCTTCCAAGGGTACCAGGCACATGGTGCCCAGACACACATATAACAAAACACCCATACACATAAAAATAAAACAATAGAAAATACTTTTAAAAGACTTGAAAAGTAAATAAAAACAAGGCTCAGGAAGTAAAGACTCTCAAATCCGAGGACACTCCCAAAATTTAAATGCATCCTAAGGTCCCTGCCCAAGGTTATACAGCTATAAAAGCAGTAAGAACTGTGTCAAAGAATCTCTGATCTGTCAAACTGCCTGAAATCGTCCAACTTTCATGGGTCCTCACCTAAGCTAGGACATGCTGTTCAGTGAGCTGCCTTTGCGTCATCCCTGCTCCTGTAAGTAACTACTTATCTATACTCTCATCCGGAACCCTGAGAAACTCATTCATTCACCAAATTGAATTATGGTAGAATCATTTCATTTATCTGTTGTCAGTGCCCTGTCTGGGGTGAATAGATGTCTGTTTCTCTGCAGAGAAAGAAAATCCGCATAACACAATGAATGTCTAAATAAGGACCAACAGAGCAAACAATGAGTTATGGAGGAGTGGTTTGCACAGCCCCTGCAAATGGGTGCTAAGATCCAGAGAGGACTCCCTACCTTTTGTAGGACACAATGTGCCTCCTTGCTGTGGTGGTGGTTACATTGCTCTATGTAATGGGTGGCAGCCATGCAATCAAAGCCATGCCATCTGAGAATGGGATGCCATTGGAGGAAGTCCCAGGGTAGCCACCTTTCTCTATTCAGTGGGGT